ATACTGATAGACTGTACATTTTGTTTTTATTCAACGCTGTGATCAAATCCATCTGCATTAAGATACCACTTCGAAGAGGATAAACAAATTTACCTACTTACATCATAAGAAGTTCTGCGTATCTAAACAGCTCAAAGTGGTGATTTCAGTTAATTCACGACAGAGGAACGCCATCCGATTAATCGGCTTAATCAGCAGAGCAGAGAGAGTAAATCTTAAGGCGGTGGGCGAAATGCAAAATCTTTAACAGACTAATTCTGTTACGTGCTATGTGCATTATTTTCAGCAATTTTTTGTTGAATAACTGAATTGTTTAGCAATCTAATTTAAATAATAATAATAAGAACGTTACTGAGTTATTGTATTGCTGAAGAAAAAGCATCACCACCACTACCACAACCGCCATCACCAAACGGCCACAGAAAAAATACGCTTGTTAATTTATCGTCAGACTTGCGTGATTACCGATTTCACATCATGACGAACTACGAAAAGCTTTCTCATTAAAATACAACGTCTGCCTTCGCACAATTGACAGTTACGATGTTATAAGATGCTACTGAACACAAATACATATGAACATAATGCCAAATAAATTACCTGCTTGTCTTTAAAACAAGTTCAAACGATAAAAGCTAATGACATCCAGAATTCATATAATAATGTTCATGCTAGACACAAATGTTGCTGATGTAGAAAACGGTGAAACCAGAGCACCATTAGTTGATAGGATGGAGGGTTTTGTGCTTCAGTTCCACTTCGTCGTTGCCATATTTTATAAGCGATGCAGCGTGATCGAAATTAAAATTTTTATGATTAGAGATGCCAGATTATATTTTGTTCTGTATTCCGTTTTTAATATGAGGCTGACATGCATCATAATTGCTATTGCACATTGTTTTGTTTATTTCAATAAAACTGCTGTTAATCTTCACATCTAATCTCTACATACCCATGTATACTAAAAACCCAAATCATAGACGACCGTATCAAGTAGCAACGTTTGAAATTCTGAACTTAAAACCAAATTATTCAAAAGAAGCACAAATATTTGTAGGATATCAGATACCAAGAATTGCACCTTGTTGTCCAGGAAACTAAATCCGGACACTATGAACATATTCGTAATGTCTTCACAAAAACTTTAAATCCGGTAGTACTCTCAAACTGCTACTGATGACAGCAAAAAATATGTACATCAGAAAATCGTTTGTGCCATCAAAACCGCTGACACTGATACAATTCCATATAGCCCACTTCTCCTTCCTCATCAATGCGTTAATAAATGGGTACAAAAACTATAACAGAAACTTCATTGATATAAATAAATTTAATGGTCTTTCACGGGTGGTCAAAATCATTGAAAACAGAAAGTAGACGAAACACACATAAATGGTGCTTATGATTTCTAAGAACTGTGAAACTGAGCAAAAGCATAGTTTCTATACATATGTAAATAAGCACAGCTAGGTAATCATTTAGCATAGAATCGCGTTGAAAATTTTTATAGCCCAGTTTTGCGCATAACGTCCAAGCATTCAAGTGATTTATAGGCGAAAACTCATTCGAACAGACGATTCAGACTCTAAAACTCATTCGCCTCAGTTCAGTCATGTTCTAAGCTCAACAGCAAACAAGAAAAATCGATAAACAGTTGCGCGAACACTTTAGCTACCTCGCATCATTACCATGAATCTTCCTTTTTCAACATATGTCCAACTGGACAATTTCCGTGTTATTGGAAACGAAACGCAAGTAGGCAGGTAGGGCAACTGAAAAGGTTCTGCTTCGAATCAGTCAGAACTGAATCAGCTAGCATAAACTACCAGAATCCTCTAACATGCTTATGACGTTTTTTCATGTACTCCTCATACTCGTCTTTCCTTCACCTCGTCTTTTTTTGTCGCTCCTTTTATAGCTGTATTGTGCAACATCAATAGTCACTCAACTGCTTCTATTATTCCATTTCATGATCCAATCGGATCAGCCCACGAAAACACGGCATATCACGCACAAATTCGGCAGAAAACAGTAAATAAGACAATATACCGACATCGGCGTTACGATGCATTCATACACGCAAATATCAACAGAGGGACAGTCCTTCATCAACGCAAATAAGGTAATAAAGTATGAAATACAGTCGGCGATATGACGGTATATTTTCAGCTCATGTAGCATGAAGCACTGCCCTGAACAGAAATAAGGAAAACTAGGAAGAGGGAACAAACACAAATCATCTTCATCTTCCATCGCCGATTCTCCTTTCTGGTCGCGGAGGCAGACACGTCAGACAGTTCTTCCAACGTTCCCGATCCTGTGTCAGAGTCTGAGCTTCGGCACAAGACAAATGCAGTCTGGAACAGATTCCTTCCATATGTTTGCACCAGGTTAATCTTGGCCGACCACTGGGCCTTTCGCCGGTCGGACTTGCAAGGAACAGTTGCTTAGCCTTCCTTTCTGCAGGCATTCGCAACACATGCTTAAACTATCGCAGCTGTGACTTCTCAATCTGGAGAAGCAAAAACTGCACTCCAAGGCTCTTTCGGATGTCACTATTCCGGATCATGTCGAGACGCGTAAGGCCAGCGCCTCGTCTAAGAAAGCCCATTTCAGCAGCTTGCACCAGGGTTCGAAGTTTTTCAATGACGGTCCACGATTCATGACCGTAGGTAAGTATAGGGATGAAGATCGACTGGAATATTGAGAGCTCAGTTTTCAGACTGACCTCTGCTTTAGTCACAATGGGTCGGGCCAGTTCACCAATTCGCCGATCGGTGTCTTCCT